TTTACATCCTCATGAAATACAAAATCCCACACATCCCTGGAGCAACAGCCTAACACTCTCCACCAAGACAAAAGCCAGTAACAACAGTGACAGACAGTTCTGCACCTGAGAGCAGAACGGAAATCTTTGCCAAGGAGCCTTCCCGGTGCTCTCTGACAAAGTTCAAGTGTTGAACAGATCTTACCTACACGAAGGAGAGAATGTATCTTTTCTAACAACCAGAACTAAAGGGATGGGTGGAGGAGTTTGCATAAAATTTATCACTGAAAGAGGTTTTGCCTAGTGTAAGAGAATCCTGTATGGACAGCATGGTGCAGCCCATTTCAGCTACCAGTCTTACAGACGGAGTCAAGAGATCCAAGTTATTCCCTAGCCTGGAGGTTGTTGGCATTCCCTACCTAAAACAGTTCTAATGACACTTCCTCTTTTCCCAGATTTGTCACAAGCCAATTCATTGCCAGCTTCTCCTGCAGCCACCGAGGATACAAGCACTAGGCTGTGAGGGGATTCTGCAAAAGCACTTGTCTTTGGATGCCTTTGCTCCATGAGCCCGTCTGGGTGAAAAATGAGGGCATTCAGCAACATGCAGGAGGGGGCCCTAAAGTATTCCAATAGAGACAAAGTATAATTTGTTATCTTGTCAATTAGAAGTATCAGGTAAGTAGGCAAGTAGGAGACTGTCACCACTGTGGTATCTCAGTCAGCTCATCTTCGCAACATCTCCCTACAAATTACTGAATATAGAGATGTTTCTCATGTTAACTGATATCAAAGGGAGTAAAACATGTTACAGCAAAATAAGAATGCTACTTTTGAGAGGTATGCCAGTGAAAAGTCCTTTAAAGTGTGTTCACTTTAGTGTTCAGTGAACAACAGTTACAATCCACAGGTTATCAGCATAACCAGAAACAGCTAAGAGTTCAAACCACCTTACAAGCTGCTTCTTTTTCAACAAATACAGGAGGAAATTCAACTTTTCTCTCCAGGTGGATGAAGTTCAAAATATAAATCACAACATCACTCCCTGGCAGCAGTGGTAGCAAAGAGGAAACAAAATCCTTTGTTCTGGCAGGGGTTCCTCGGAGATGCACAGCTTTATTTCATTAACTTGCAGAAACATGCAATAGTATCACTCTCTCCTACCTGCTGAGCCAACGGCAATTCATGGCATGGAAAGGAAAACGTCTCGGCAAGAGGCATGCAGTTCCAGTTTCTGGTCCCTGAGATGCAAACTCATGTAAGTCGCCCTACACAAAAACAAAACCCACCTCAGCAGCACCATGGCAACTGATAGCACAGAGAGCAGAGGAAGAGGAGGAGCCTTCAGCTCCAGCCGCAGCCCCACAGCCAGGACTTTGCAGAAAGCCAGGAACGGGAAGGAGTCAGTTCAGCGAAGGAGAAATCCTTCTGGATGTAGCTGGACCAGTCTGGGATGTGGCAGTGAAAGCATCCACCTGGCAGACACTAATGCATCCTTGTACTTCAACACATGCGTCTGTGCATAAAATTACAGCGACGCTTATAATTTTACAAGATCAATGCTCTATTGTGTAATCCCCTAACCACAAACAGGCAGGATGGAAAGGAATTTTTATGAATTCAGAACAAGCTCAGAAGGATCCTTTATTGCTTTTGGTACTTTGTGCAATCACTCCGGGACTGGTTTCTAAGCAGGCACCCTGACCCAGTGCCAGGCTGGGCATACTCAACACCCCACCGTCCAGAGTCAAACTGAGGAACTCTTCCAAAATTACTTTAATAGACGATTAGTTCTCCTTAAGCACCTCAATAATTTATTGAGACTATTTACCGAGAAGTCCAAATATTTTTAGGTGCTAAGGCCTAAAATCTCTGCAGGCTGACTATCAAAGGTAACAGCTGAGCTACTTCCAAAAATCTGACTTTCAGCTGAATCAAGGATTGTCAGGTGACTCTGCACACCCATCTCATTGCTTATGAAACCAGAGCCCTGATGTGTAAATATCAGGAGACACGCAGGACTTAGTCTTATTTTAAGTAAGAATTTGATACAAGATACCATTTTTGAAGCTAGGAATTAAATTTAGCAACAGTCAAGAAGAATTTATTAACCAAAACGAGCAAACCCAAAGTACTTTCCAAGTGGCATTTAGAGAGAAGTTACTTAATCTACCACTAAAACTTGCATTGTGCCTAACACTCACTACACTACAACCAAAACTGTATCCCAGCAGGACTACTGCCTTTGGTGGGAAGTGCCGAGGGAAATTTCTGAACTCAAAGACAACACAAGGATGCCTGGAAGCAGAAAGATTAAGAAAAAACGGTATGCTTGGTTTGATTATCTTAACGTACAAAAAGTAAATTCTGTTGATGTAAACTGTACACAAAGGGTATTTTCTTCAACGGCACTTGTTTTTAATGTTAGATGCTGTAACTAACAGAGTGAGGAGGGCATTTACATGATTTTTATTACTGATAATCTTTAAATAAAGCACAACTACAAGCAAGAAAAGAATCAGAAGGTTTTAGCCTCCATGGTTACTCTTCCAACACACAATTTCTGTTAAGCGTTGGTGTTCCACACACCAATTTAAAGTTCATTATCAGAGTGTAGCTTTATCAATCCTATATAGTAGCAGCCAACTGGCACAATCAAAGGTCCTCATAGATCTCCAGTGGAACGGCAGCCTGTATTGTACAGCCTGTCCCAGCGAGACTGTCTTTAGCAACAGCATAAACGCTTGACACGATCAATAAGGTGATAGATGGAACGCCACAGCACACACACGCTCTGCATGCTCAACTGAAGAGACACGGGTTGGCACACAGGCTCCCTAGCTGGGTCAGGATTCATCGATTAGACATCACAACCCCGCCAGACGATAAGGCTCTCAGCAACGTTTTCCAGCTCAGGCAGGAGACCTGCAAATCACAGGTGCTGAACACATGCCCAACAGTCTGCTGAACCATGACTCCTCGTGACCTGGCAACGTGATGTCACTTCTTATGGGGGTTTAAGAACAAAAGAGAAGCAGCAATGCCTGTTACTACAGGTACACCCACGAACCCCCTTCCAGCAGCCTAAATTCTGGATTTCAGCCATAATTGTTCCCTGAGAAGGACTTCTCAGCAGCAAAGCCCCTCACCTCAAATACAAGCTAACTCTGTCTTTAACTGACCAAAATTTCCTGTGTGAAACTAACCAACGAAAGGAAAGAGTTTTGGTAACTTCTTCACAGAGCTGAACTCCCATGGACCTGCACCTTGTTTGACCCACTAGTCAGACCGTACAGAACTCCCCACGAATTTATCTTTGTCACTTTACAAAGTGTCGTACCCTTGTGATTACCAAAAGGAAGCTGGAAGCAAGAATACCCGTGTTCCATTAATTCATTGTCACAGAGTGACTCCGGGCAAGTTGTTGAACTTGTCTTTGTCTCAGTTTCTCCATCTGTAAACATTATTTGGAAATCTTTGGACGAAAGAGACTACCATCCTGGAAAACTATTTCAATTCATCTTACTTTATCTTAGAAAAACAGCCTATTAATGCTGTAACTTTTTTTATTTGAACTGGCATTTCTCTCCAATTTAACTGAAAGTCAAGAACCCTCAAAAGAACGTGCCAAAGTAAGCAAGTTACAACAGAGGTGCTCAAGGTTGTGCACCTATTGCATTACAGCTCTCTGATGCCAGCCAGTGTCCTAGAAGTTGCTTGATTTGTTTGCTCTCCTATTGTCTGTTTCCACACTAATGGTTATGTGTTCATCAGTTTCTTCTGTTCTTAAAATATATATAGTTACAGGGCTAGATCTTTTCCTGCTTCAAAATTACCTTTTGTGCTGCCAAATTTTATAACTGGCAGTCTTTGGAAAGGTAATCCCCTTAAAATTTGCTTTAAGGTTTTATATCTGTTATATTAGTGCCAGCTGGCTAAACAGATCCATCGGCATGACCGTAACACTCTGTAAGGTCTGGACTACTATCCCCTTTCTGCCCCAACCCGGAGCCTGCTACTATTTGTTTCCAGAGGCCGTCTCCCTAAAGTGGGAAGGGAATCACCAATAAAAGGACAGATTAAAATTCCTTAATCTGCCCAAGCAAATAAACCAGCAAAACAGAAGAACAAGCTGAAAGGATTAGCTGGTTGTATAAATATCTACTACTGGTCAGTAAGAGCCAGAAGCCTTTTTGGAACCAACCATTTCTTCAAAATCAGCAAAGAAAACCCCAATGGGTACATCCCGCTGGTGGTATGTAAATCAGCAACTCCATAAAAATAAAGGGGGATTTTGACAAGCAAATATTAACACCATGATCTCAAAATCCCAACTTCACAGTTCATTTGAGCCACAAAGAATTAGGAGGAGGAGTGAAACAGCCCTTCTCCCAGCCATGAGGCCAACATCTCCCAAAGCTGCAAGCAGTAACTACCCTATCAAACCCTGGCTTATCACCACTTTGCAGGATACCAATCGCTTCTTTAACCATCCACAAAATTTTCTCTATCCAAACCAAAAAACGTTCCAAGCAATATGGAGGGATTGATCTTATCCAGGAGTACTGCCAATTCTTTGGCTACATATAAAGCAGCAAATCCCATACAAAGACAAAATAAACAAATTAATGTCCTTGTTCTCAACATACACGGCCTGTCTAAAACACGCACACAAGTTAAAACTTTAAAGACCTCAGTCAACACATTCCAATTTTCCAACAGGGGGGACGAGACAGGCAGTATAAGCAAGCCCACCATAACATTCAACAGCTGAGATGTCTGAAAAGTGCTTAAGGAATTTAGAAATAGATAGATATTTCATTAACACCAATGGAAAACAGAAGGTTTGGGTACAGATAAACATACAAGAGATCATCCAGAAACAGAATGCCAGATGATGTTTTGGCACAACAAAAACATTTGAGGCCAAACCCAGATATAAAGTTGAATCTTTGGATTATCTTTGGAATGGATGGGATAAAAAGACTGAAGAATGAATCTGCGTGCTATTTTATCCATACCTCATATGGCTTGCCAGGCCATCTTGAGCGTTAGGAAGTCCCAGATCTGAGAGGGAATCCGAGCAGACAGATACAGGTGACAAAGACCTCTCTTTCTCCTCTAGCAGATCAAGTTTCACCAAGGAGCTTGTCTCATCTTCTGAGTTATCCTCTGACACAGAGCCAATAATAAAGCGAGAGTGAGGGTTCATCTCCAGGGGTTTAGTGGGTTGAGAAGACTCTTCCATGGCTCCTACAAATTGGGCCCTCAGCACTGTAAGGGGAAAAAGAAAGTAAAAAAACCAAAACCTGAAGTTAATACCTGTTATTGCAGAACAAAGAGGACACAGCAAGATTCACTTCTGATAGGAGATGCAATGTTACAACACCATAGCTGAACCCAGACAGGAGTCCAGGATCAAGAATACTTCTGCTGTAATCACTGACTCTTCTGCTTGCACAAGGACTGTAAGATCAAAGCAGCTGGTCATTCTGATCTGCTGCAGAACCTGACAGTTTAGACAAAACTGCAGTAGGCACTTGAAAAAAAAAAAATCACACACAAATGTATGACTAAAAATAAAAAATTTTTATTTTACTATTACTCTTTGGTTAGTTATTGGCGACATTTAAAGTCTGACTGGGCATGGTCCTGGGCAACCTGCTCTAGCTGACCCTGTTTACACAGGGGGTTGGACTAGATGATCTCCAGAGGCTCTTCCAATCTCAGCCCTTCTGTAATTCTGGAATTAAAAATTCGTATTTCAACAGCATCTGAATGCTGGGACGCACTGTGCTAGGTACTGCACACAGCATTATTTACTGCTAGTCAAACGATGGATTCAATAGGTCAAAACCAGCCTTTCCCCAGCCCTCGCCAGGTGCCAGACCCCCGGTATTCGGCAGCAGTGAACTGCCAGACTGACTCACCCATCTTCTGTAACTTTACCCTGACTTTAACCTCTTGTTCCCAGATCATCCATGTCAATTAGGGGATAGTATCTACTTGATGGTAATACACCGAAACTTAGCAGCATGATTTACAATTGTTAAGAAGAAAATACAGAAGTCCAGGTCTCCATTTTCCATTTTAAAAATCATTACATAGAGCGAGATTAATCTCTTAATATGGGGAACTCTGAGTATCAAACATTCAATGTTGTTCCAAAAGGGGATGAATGCATTTTCTTCAAAATTAAAAAGATAATAATAATTACAACTGAGAAAAAAAAAAATAATAATTACAACTGAGAAAGAGCACGACAGACGGAGAAAACAAAGGAGCACCTCACAGCACAAAGACAGGTGGGATGGGGAATAATCATTTGATACGCCCTGCTCTGCCTGACTTTGATGCTCTTAGACGATAACTACACGCAGCTGGAAATCATAGCGTTGTAAAATGAGGAGTGCACTAACCTCTTGTTATTCTTGCAATCTGAGCAGTTATCCACTTCCAAAACGAACTGGAAAAGAAAAGAATTAACAAGTAAATATTGTGAATAATACTCCGCGTCTGTTTTCCCAACTACAGGAATCACTGAACACAGAGACTGTCATGAAAAATCCCAGCCACAAAGCGGACTAGATCACTTGCTCTGGGTCACAGAGCGGAGCGGGGACTGAACCCGTGATGTCCAAGTCACGCCGCGGCACCTCCTGCTCGTTCATCCTTCTGGCAACCACCAAGCAACGTCTTAGCACACACCCCATCGTCCCACACACACTTCAGTTCTGTTCCTAAAAGAAACTAAGCTTTGTGCCAGTGCTACTTATGTCAAACTCTTTTTTTTTTTTTTTTCTCTGTCAACTACTGAATCTGCTGGCTGAATTTTACAGTCTGAAGTAAATCTCAGTGACGATTAGAAATCTTGGGAAAAAATTGGTGGCTAGAAGACCCAGCTGATATACCAAATTTTTACATTAAAAAAACCCAATAATTTGCCTGTAAAACAAACTGTGATACAGCAATACAGACAAGGACAAGAGGAGGGGACATTTACCTCAGGGCTCCACTCTCCCAGCAGCTACAACACTCTGCAGAAAGGACTGGTATGATACCCTTAACTCTCACACCACACTGACATCCTAAACCGGTGCGAAAACCTCATCAGTCCTGCTAATTATAGCCATGTTATGCCAAGTACAGGGATGCAGCATAATTGGTTTGATATGAACATGACAGCTTTCATCCGGTACACAAGCAAAACTGGACCATGTTATAACACAAATAGGACATGACTGTAGTTTTAATTAGAGCACAGACAAGGAATTTATAGATAGTGCAATCCTTAAACACCATGCTCTTTCTTTTCATCAGTAACTGAGAATTAAAAACTGATCCAACTGGCTTATGCTCTTTTACCATGAATGAGCTTGACTGAATTATTTAGATCAATGTGTTGACATCATTACTCCCACAAACTCCAGTTTCACTGGGGCCACAGGCAGTTCATTTTGCAGAGAGGTGTACTTAACCACTTTATTTCACAAATATCTGTCCGACACAGGCATTAAGAGGGTGGATCAATCTGCCTTTTTTGAGGGTAGAGATGGAGAAGAGGAAGCATGTCTGTAATGTCTGCATACCTACCTGTGACCGCACAGGAAGATTTCTTTAACTGAGGTGCTTAGGCAGGACTTATAGCTCAGACAGTGTAAAGATTAATCAAATTTTGTTCGCACATACAAACATGAAGACAATATTTACGTGTATATTTATCCTGGCATCAGATCACTCCTAGAGAATTTCATCCAGACAGATTTACTGTTGGCACAATCATCGGTGCTGAAGAATCTGGGATACAGCCAAACTAACTTCAACCCTTTCTCAAAGAAGAAAAACTTTTTCTAATTTCAAAAACTTACACATTAATAAGCAAGTTTCAAGGCTTTTTTTTTTTTTTTTCCTCCTAAGCAGAGAAGGAAACAGAGGAACAGGCAGCAAAGCGTTTCACTCAAATACTGCATGAGAAAACATCAAATTAATGCCAAGGCTCCTGATCCCCAATGCCACACTCAAACAACTTGACTCAAACATCTTGTTTGTACAACGCTGTTCCAAAGCAGTCAGTTCTCCACGAAGCCCCATTCAAATCTATTCACCAGTCCACTTCCAACCCCGTGTAGTCCAGTCCCAAAGTCATGCGTTCTGCTGATGTTTTGCAATCAGCTGTAACTCAACATTGCGCTGAATTAGACATAAGCTCTGCTTGTTCCCAGCTTGCTGAAATTTGTTATTTGTATCTGAATTAATTTTAGCATTGTCTGGGGCCAAGAAAAATGTAGATTTTCTGCGAGATCTCAAGGAAGCCTTTTGCTGCAAATAGAACGCACGAGTCTCACCAAACCTCTGCATGTTGTATTTGCTGTCTGAAACGTAACTGCCAGTTTCTAACAAGCATCTTGAATTCAGCTGACCACCAAGACAACGTTCGTGTACCACTAACCATACACCGTTTGTTTTAATAACATTGAATCAGACCGTAAAAACCAAAATTGCATGGCTCCTCAGCTATATACAGCCCTACAGTTATTTTTTCAAGTGTTAATAGCCTCTCAAACAAGCTAACTTTTACAGAGAGCGAGCTTTTTGCTTCAAAAAAACCTGTAAATTACAGAAGGACACAGATTGAGATTTAGATCCTGCAAAGACTTTAAAACAGGTAACATCGTGCTCTCTGAGCCTGCTCAGTCACGTCAATATGTTTCATCACAGCTGAACCTTTACAGAACCTGTGCCACGCTGTCCTCCCCACTCCTGAAGAAAAGCAGCTCTCATTGGAGTTCTGAAGAGACACAGCACTTTCATGACTCTCCAGCTCTGCAGATATCAAGGTATTTTAAGACTCAAATGGTGTTCACGCTACAAGCGATGAGAACCCTGCAATCCCAATTCAAAAGGTAACACACCTGGTTTTGCCTGAGGTGAAAAAACCCAAATCACCGCAGCTCTACTACTATCATTAGTAAAATTGTTGGCTTGACAGTGAAATGCACATGTAGAACTATTAGAATTTAGAAGTTTTTATAACAGTTTGACTTCAAGATGATTCCTATCTTCAAGATCATTCTTGCATAATGTCAGTTGGAAATTAAGTTTCTAGTTTTTCCAAACTACCGCATTCCAAAGACAATTACACTACTGAAAAGAACAGTATTATTTCAGTGAAAATGAGTTGTAGGTTCTTTCAAAGAATCAGAATAGCACCTCTACAATACTGAAAAGCCATATAAAAAGAAAATTAACAAAACGAGTTTTATTTACAGGTCTCCTGTTTAAAGCCCAGGGATCTGTGGTATTGCTAACCAACACAAATAATTTTAAAACAATGAAATGGCCATACTTGCACTACCCTAACTGAAGACAGGTAACAGAAAACAAAGGAAGGAAAAAGGTTAAAACAAAGTAAAAATAGATGGTATCTGTGTAACAAGTTGACTACTTAATTGCTTTTAGTGAAGACAAAAAAAGAAAAAAAACACCAACCAACAGCAACGTGCTCACCTACACCAGAACTGGAAGTGAGTTCCCAGATCAGGAAAGGGCAAAGAGATGTTCTTAGCACCAACACAGGCCACCAAGCATCAAACCATCCACCCACAGAGGTCCTTGCCCACAGCCCATCAGGCTGGCCACTGCCGCTGCTTTCCAAGACTCGCTCAGCCTCAAAACTTCGCCAGCCTGTATCTGCACAACCGGTGGGCCACGAGTCCAACTCTGCTCCGCCCGAGCTGGTTAATAATTGGGCATTGCTTCACTTCCTATCCTAAAATATTCTCAGCAAGTGTTAAGATATTCCACACAGTTCTTTTGCTTCTAAGGTACAAAAAGTGTACGTCCAGAGGTCAGAAGTTCTAGTTACTTCGTTTTCAGACTTACTGTATCAACATTAGACACATAAAGCTAAATGTACAAGTGGAATATACCCCTCCTAGGTCTCCTCGGGTAAAATACGTCTGTGTCACTTCCGAAAAGAACATAAAAACAAAAAAAGAGCTGATATTTACAGCTATCCTAGTTTGCTAAAACACTCAATCCTGTGTCTAAATCCCACTTTGAGAAAATTGGGTATAACTTAAATGGTTTGTCGACCATTGACAGCCTGCTAAAATGGAACCGACTTTGGATTATTTATTTTTTTT